AGTGTAGGCGTACAACATCGCATTCGATACTTGTAACAACTATTTATTGTCACAGTGTAGGCGTACAACATCGCATTCGATACTTGTAACAACTATTTATTGTCACAGTGTAGGCCTACAACATCGCATTCGATACTTGTAACAACTATTTATTGTCACAGTGTAGGCGTACAACATCGCATTCGATACTTGTAACAACTATTTATTGTCACAGTGTAGGCGTACAACCGCTCATTCGATCCTTGTAACAATTATTTTCCATTTCTGAATTATTTGCCTTTCAAAGGACTTCTGAATCACTTATAATTATTGGCCTAAAAATCTATTGGTTAATAAGTTAGAACTTAAGAACTGAAATAATACTATTCAGATTTTTTACATCTAGTAATTTAAATTTATTTTTAAATTAAAGAAAACAATACCACAACTTAAGAACTCATAAAAATATAAATAAATACATATAGGACTTAAATCCTGATCCTAGATTTGTTATACAAATAGTAATAGTAGATAGTAGAAATTAAAATAAACTAATTGAATATCGTATAGTAATTCATTTCATATTTCTATTTGTGTAAGCAGATTAACTGTAACAAGAAGTACCAACACCATAACATAAATTTGCACTGATGGATGTTTACTGTACACCCAGTAAAGGATTAACCCGATTTACTCCAATATGAAAGTGTGTAATCAATACACAGAATAAACAAAATTTCCTTTAAAATTTTGATCGGAGTACTGGAAAATAAAATCACTCTAAATTAAAGTAATTTATATGTACTGGATTATCCAAACATATACCAAGTACCAAGTTCTTGAAAATGTTTCTTTGTTTTATTTTAAACCCATAAAATGTTTTACTTGACCATAGGTGGTAGAACTAGGGATCACATATACCCCAATTTTTGCCCAAGCAGCAAAGTACTCCTTCGAAAGGGCGATTAGAGACTTGTGTATATCTATCATGGAAAGTCAATGTTTTAGTTTCATATTCAATGGTCATAGCAGGTAAGGTAGGTTCCTCCAGTCATCACCCCCACCCCCCACCCCAATTCAAATATGTTATACTGCCCATGTTTATGACTTTTCACTTAAATGCAATGAACAAATTAATTTTAATTCATGACAGAACAAAACACTAAAACAAGAATCTTTAACAGGATTACTTTAATTTGGAGAAAAATAATAATATGAGAAATAAAATAATCTAAATTTTTTATTGTAGGCAAAACTAAAAAAGAACAAATTTATTCATTAAAATCAGTTGAAACATAAATAATTAACAAGCATATCTTTCAGCAAAATTGAGCACTTTACGTAAATGAAACAAGAAAGAAAAGTTAGGTGTTGAATAAAGAATATCTTGTAACAAAATAGTTCAACAAAGAGATAAAGAGGAATGCAATAGAGATTTGGGTTGAAAAAAAAAAAAAGATTTACTTTTCTTTAGGTTCTCTAATTGAGTCATAAGTATAGTCCTTACTTATGGATGCTTCCCTTTGGGGGGTGGGGCTCATGTACTGAACATTGACACAAGGAGAATAGCTTTTAGTGTAGTTTACCTATCAATCTGACAAGCTGGTATGCATAAATCAAATACGTGACTATGAATCTGATCTGTAAATAACTTAAGTAAAATTGATAACAGTTAGAATTCACCTGCTTAATCTGATTCACACCATAACACTTGTTGTTCATGAAAACTAATTATATGCAAGTAGAATCTAGATCAACACTGTCTGTCATATCCCAGATGGCCCAACAAGCCCTGGCATTGAGCAAAAGGCCTCAATGCCACTGTATATAACAGAAATAGTGTGGTTAACATATTATAAAGTATTCTCCTTCACTTTCACTCACGAGTTCTTAAAATTAATACATAATTCAACTTTTATGTTACATGCTTTCATAATTCACAACTCTATATCATTATTTAGAGAAAAATGTCTTTAGAAATGCACAAACATTTATAAGCATGATTTACAATACTTAAACAAACAACATCTAGCAGCATATCCTTCCTCTGCACTCAGCAGTTAATACATTATTAATCAACTAAATTATACATTTGTGGGCTCAACATAAATCTTTCATAATAGCAATAGAAAAAAATCATTTGAAATCTGAGAAGGGTCTAAAAGAAAAACCCTAGAAACTATAATGGCTTGGACAAACCTATTTTGTAATTTCATCTTGTTGTTACCTATTGCCTGAAAAAGCAGATGACCATACCTCTTAAGCTTTGTAACTTGTGTTGGTTAAAATCTAACAAATAACAGTCTATAATGTGTTTTTTGATTTCCTGAATAACCCATCTGAACCCTACATTGGTGTTAGAAAACAATATTGTTTATCGTGTGGTAATAATTGGAATGTGTTATCTGATTCCAAGTATTTTAAGAAGTTGGCAAATAACTTAGCTATAGTAAGTAACGGCCTGACCTGTTTCTAAACCAGGACTGAGAAAATATCTTGTGATCCGATTACAAACCCAGCTTGTAACTGTGAATGACACAGCTATGATATAACAGAGACAGAAATCAATAGGCTGGGATGAGATCTGCCTGGGAATTCAGCAGTTTCTCCCATAATTATGAACTAAAAAAAACACATTTTTATGAACTTTTACTGTCCTTATGTCATGTCTTGGACATTTAGCTACAGTAACATGTGAAACAGAAGCAAAACGAGCTGTTGCCAGAAATTAACACTCAAGACGACTGCACATTTAGTTGTATATCATACCTGAAAACAAACCAACATTCTATCAAAATGTGTAGTATGTTTTCTACATAATATATTCATTATCTTTACACAATGTTGATCAATTTACTAATTTTCTAAGATCATTTGTACTTTCAACATCTAGCAAGCCATAAAATTTTGACTAAATTTGGCATTAAGTTTCTGTCTGTAAATGTAATGTACATTAGCACTACAAATCTCACAAATAGTGATCAGATTAAAGTTTGTAGTGGGTGCTGTTAACTGGTTTTCTTTTAGTCTACCAGTTCAGAAATAAGGACAGTTACACATATGTAGCCATTGTGTAACATCAAAGTCATTCCCATATAGCTCCACATCTCCAAAGTTCGGAGCAATGGATGGCAAACCAAGAAATATTAGATTTGCAGTCCGAGCATGCTAACTACTAGGCATGCTGAATTTACATTGTTTTCCTAACCAATAAAACTGCTAATAACAAACAGAAAATAAGCTGATTCTCCTTTTAAAATGTTTATAAAATCAATATAACATGCAACAGAGTTTAAAAAAATGTCAGAGCTGGGAACTCGACAGTTGAGATAGTACGTAGCACCTAAGGTTAGAATATGTATTGTTTATTTTAGAATTTAATGAAAAATAAATAGCTACTTGCAGTTTTACTATAGTTTAACAAAAAATCCAGTAATGGTCAGAATGACCAGTAGGAAAGGGCAGCTACATATCAAAGGTTTGAACCTACTGGACATTGACTCAAAATTTAACACAAATATGATACCCTATTTTTGTGTAGTTTTCTACCTACTTTTGTGTAGTTTAAAAATACTCAACAACCCATATTTCTTAGTTCTTTTATCTCCCATTTAGTGCTGTTTTGGTTGAAAAGGTTTGGAAAGAACAAAGTTCTCCTTTAGAAGTAAATACACTATCATGGTAAAAACAAGTAATTAAATTTTTGTACAAAATACTATAAAAATTACAAATTTTTGGGTATGCAAAATAAAATCTAGTTTGTCAAATAATATCTGGTGAAAAAACAAGGCAACTCTTTACTCACAGCATTTATACATGGACAGGAAAATGGAATTAAGAAGCAAAAATGTTTACACTTTTGAAAACTTAGGGTTCCTTTTTGACTCGTTGAGATAACACTAGCTGCAACCATCAATTGGAGTTAAAACAGCTTATTACTAGTTAGGTTTGAGCTATCTAGCACAACAAAGATCAAACCCAGCTAATAAGATAGTCCTACCAGAGAACAAGCCTATATTTAGAAGCTTTGATAATTTTTCCACAAATGTAAGTGTCTAATGGCAGAAACAAAATACATCAGTTGAAAAATGGCATCAAATGTGGTAACATAAACCACAGTTTATAAACTGCACGTATTCTTTAGTAGGGGAAGGGAAAAGGAACAATGAGCCAAATGCTTCTTTATCTAATTTTGAGCTATATGCACACTTATGAGAAGACTGACAGTAGGTTGAAGGAACTGAGAAATGCTGACCACAATAATGTTATGATTATTTGTTAACACGCCTATTATCGATTTTACATTTACACTAAAAAAGAACAACAAGTTGTGGAAAATGTACAAAAGCATACATTTAGTCTTACATTAATTACAGTATTTTTCAATTAGTACAGTAACCTAATATAGCCTAACAAAAGAGTATTGGCTTCAGTATAAGATGCCTTATATATACCAATCCATGAAAAAAAAAGGGACACTGGTCTAGGTAAAAAGATGCCTTACAAAAGGAAGAATGTTTAAAAAATCCTGTGATAAATAATATGTTTACAGAAAAAAGAATAAAATTAAGGATAATGAACATCCTTAGACGAGCAATTTGAGTACAAATAAATGATGAAAATAAAAGAAAACATGGGGTTAATTTAATCTGGACGTATCAGAAACAAAAAACTGAACTTAATCTGTCCTTACACACTATTGTATAGTGTATAGAATTTTTTTTTTTTTACTGGCTAACTTCAATGTCTTGTGTTCACAAAATGCAAATACTAATAGTATTACTATTTCAACATTCAAAATATACTGTTCATTTATGAACCATATATATTAATACCAAATTTCTCATTTAGCTGCATTGTAATGAAACAACAAACAAGCCCTCACACTACAAAAAGTGTACATGTGTGGACAACATTTGATATAAATCTGTAATGAATGCCTTAAAAGGAACAAACTGTACAAACTATACTATGACTAACAAAAGTATTTCACACAGCAATTGGTTGGACTATGCTATTGTTATTGGTTGTTACAATCTGTTCAATGTTACCATTTTGGTCTGCTTCTCTTAATAAACGAGATTCTTCTAGATCAATGTCAAAACCACGGTTTGGAATAAGATTTGGCACTGCTTGAAGTTCAATTTCATCATAAACTGTAGACAAAAAAAAAATACAACTGTATGTTGTTAGATGATACGATATGCACTTAATGATGTATTAACATTTTAACAGTAAATAAAGCAACATTATTTCATTAAGAGTATTTTACCCATTCCTTACTAAATTAATGCACTAATAAGAAAAGAATGACTCAGGTTTAAGTTACACTTCTCATATTCAGATAGGAGCTAGAAATACTTTAATTTTCAAGTCACTCGAGAGCTTGCCTTGGCAAAAAAGGTGTGAAATCCCACTATTTAAAAAAAACTGCATGTTTCATAAAAGAATGTATTTCAAAAGTAATCAGTAAAAATGTAAATTTGTTGAACCTGAGGAAAATTTTTGATAATTCAATATTGTGTAAAGTTTAATAGAAGAAACATGTATGCAAGTTCAAAATACAGCTTTTTCTTTTAAAGTTACACAACACAAAAAAAAACATCACATTTAAAAAACAAGATCTTAAGAATCTGTGAAGATAATAAAAATGTACAATAACAAGTAAATACACAATACTTGTAGAGTAATATACAATAAAATAAAGTTTACATCCACTATTGTCGGAACAAAAGTTTATGTGGAAACAAGTTTCGACACTTTCACATCTCCTCTTCAGTACAACTTTTCTTTGTGAGAGAAACACGTACAGTTTATCCAAGTCCTTTGATGGCATATTATGACAGTAGGAACATAAAAGGGATGTTAAAAATGGTCAAACAAATAATGATATTTTTCTTCACCTGAGAAATTTTCATCATATAATTAACTGTAAATTAGCCAAAATGATACATAAAACTAGAAATTATGTACAAAGAAGAATTGTAGAAAAATGTGTTGGTTCACAAATTGCCAAACTTCAACATCTCGGTAGGTGACTGTAAACTGAATTTCGGCCTCTTAATGTTTTATCTGTTCGCTGCATCAAGTAATTAGAGTCAATATGTTAATTACAGTTCCAATGTTGTGGCTTTAGAGAAATGTCTCAAAAACAACAGTTTTAAAGTTGTTTATAAATATCCTAACACCATTAATAACTTTCTATCCTCGAACTTGTCTACACCTTAAAATAAAGCACAAGGAGTCAGGTTTGTAGATGCTACTTTTAACCCATTCGTTGTGACTGGTACATATGAGCTGTTGATGTCTTTAGTTTCTCCATTTTTTATACCTGTATATGACTTCTAACCTCTGTATTAGGCATTACCCTCAGGTTTGTAGATGCTACTTTTAACCTATTCGTTGTGACTGGTACATATGCGGCCTCTTAATGAGCTGTTGAGATCTTTAGTTTCTCCATTTTTTATACCTGTGTATGACTTCTATCCTCTGTATTAGGCATTACCCCAGAAGTACTTCTATGGATAACAATTGAATACATAATTGGTGAGAAGGGTCCTGACACCATAGTTATTGTAGTTAACAAGTCAATCACATGAATTCCAGAGCTGTCAATAAATTATATTAAAATTAAGTAAATAATTGAACACATGAAAGATGTTAGTTTAAAAAAAAACTGAAATAGTAAGTAACAAAATTACCTCAACGTACGTACACACGTGGCTGATATTGTGGACCATATTTAATTTTACTACAAGCAAGTTAAAAACTTACCGTAAATAGGATAATGTGCTTGTGTTACAAATTATAATTTGAATGTTTATGCAATTATGTGATCAAATAGAATTTTATTTGATACGTACATAGTTATGAGAAACAATTTCTACCTATTATCCCTTTCCAGTACAGTTATCTTGTGTTTTACAAAGTTAAAATAATAACATCGTGTTTTGAAAAACTCTGTCCGATCATTTCTTTAAAATTACCTACAAAATGAAATTCTAGTTGAAATGTGACTTCATTTTCTTTTTTGTACGCTTTATACTTGTTTTGGATAAAGTATTTTAAAAATAATCCAAAATACCAACACTAATTTTCAGTTTTGCTAAACCATTTATAAATTTATAAGGATCGTAGAAATCCTTACATTTTTTGCCAATGTAGATACAACTTGTCACTGTAGGAAACAAGCTGGAAATCTTAAGTCTTCGTATACAAGTTTTATAGTTTACTGTTTGCTCATATAGTCTGAAAACAGTAAATATTTTATGCCAGTGTTGTCAAAAACTGTAAAATTTAACTTTCGACATTATCTTTTACAAGTTTCAAATGTCTGAACCTAATAATACCATAAATATATTGTCTGAAAGCCTACGGTTATGTTCTTTTTCAGTCTTTTTTCTGTCAATCCCACTTCCTTCCTTATATTGATTTGTAAAGTTGTAAAATTTCATTTACTATATCAAGGTTATGCTGGGCTTGTATCTTGTAAGTTATTAATGATTTTCTATTCTGTGTAAGCCAGAGAAATGTAATAAATTATCTAATTAAGTTTTTTCCATGTTTGTTTATTTTGTTAAAGTAATTGCTTTGACAACTCATGTGAACAAGAGCTCCTGCTGTTGTAACTTGAGACGAACTGTAAAGTCCTTGATAGGGTGTTTTTTTTTTAACATACATATATAAATTAGTAAAAAGAGGATAGAATGCAGTAAGAAAAATAGATTATTTACATTAGTTGTAATGCTTTAGACAATATTTTACTGCACCATTTCTTTCAAGAAGGAGCCTAGTGTATGAGATCCTTAGTCCTACTGTACGTACAAAAAGTGGCTTTTCAGGTCAATTGTTATGGAAGGGGTCGGGGCATATGTAATAACAAAGTAAATAGCTATGTAATGTACTGGTTTATATTTCATTATAAATTATAAGTTTACAAGACAAATCAAAGTTATATTTTTAAAAGGTCCTGTGTTTATCATGTCATGTGTTTGAAGTATTTGGTGTTTCAAATATGGTGACTTTTACAACTTATTAATTTTTATTAATTCAAAGTCAGAGTTGGCCAGTACGATGTCATTAGCAGTTTAAGGATTATTCTAAATATCAAAATTCCTTTTTTTTTCAAATCTAAATGTTTATTAAAATATTATTGTGTATATTCATAAAATTTCAACACAAAACTTGCAAAAAGCTTGAATGACATTATTGATACTAGGGTACTCACAACTTAATATATAACTATGATCATAGTTATATATTAAGTTGTGGGTGCCCTGGTATCATGATACCAGGGCACCCACAACTTAATAT